AGACCATCCTGCTGCCTTGGATAATTCATTGCGCAGATGCTCCCCTCTTCAAAACCACCCCGCTCCCCACTCCTCCCAGTTTCAGAACATGCTGTTGACATCACATTGCCTGGATTAAGGCTTCTTTCTGGCTGCCTAGACTGGAGCCACAGGTCTCCCCAGACGTGCAGCACATGAACACAATATTATTATCCAGCAGCAGAAAGTTGGATGAAACTTCACATTTGTCTGGAAAATCAATCCAGCTGGATTTCCATCCTGCTGAAGAACTGCAGCATCCAGGCATAGAGGAGGACAAACTTTCTGCCAGATGGAGTGTGCCGGGAGGGGATGAGTGACACCACCCCAGAAGTCGCCGTCTCCTCCACTCCATGCATGTGGCAAGACAGAGTGATCCCAGGGAACACCAGCCCTTTCCAGGAGCAGGGAATCAAGATCTGCTTCCATCGCCTGGCGCCAGAATTGCTGAGGAGAGGCATAGCCCAGCACCTTGCAGCAGCAGTCTTTTATTAGCGGGGGGCAGGCCCCACTCAGTTCAGCCCAAGCAAAAAAGCCCAGTGAGTCCAGCAGTGACCCAAGCAACAGGCTGCAGCCAGAAGTGGGCCTAGGATCAGGAAAATTCTGCCCAGCATCTGCGGAGAACTGTTTGTGCCCTTTGGAAAGTCACCTGCCTTCTTCCTCTAAGCTGATCCATACACAACATGGACAAGGAGCCGCTCTCTCCCTTTTCCCCCACACCGTGCAGGCAGGCACCACCAGCAGCATTTTTATCTATTTATTTATATTTATATCCTCTTTTCCCCCTTCAAGGAAGTCAAGGTGGCTTACATCACTCTCCTTCTGCTGCTCTCAATCTTATCCTCACAACAACAACCCTGTGATGTAGGTTGGGCTGAGAGTCTGCTACTTGCCCAAAGCCGCTCAGTGAGCTCCATGGTGGTATGCGGACAAGAATCCAGATCATATGAATCCCAGTCCCTCACTCTCAACCACTACACCAAACTGCCTCTCCAAAGGGCTGGTTCAGGGTCAAGCCCTGTAAAGACAGCACAAACTTTGTGAATTAAAAATGCTAACCAAGTGATAACTAGGAGGAGGCGGAGGAGTTCTGCTGAGCAGAACATTTGGTGCATTCCAAAGGAGTGACAAAGTGGGGGGGGGGGGGGGGACAAGGTTCTCATTTACCACCTTACCTGCCACAGCTTGCTCCTTAATTTGCAAAACTCACCCTAAGAAAACTACCTTGGGCTCAGGCATCCTGGGTGGTTCCATTTTGCTTTTGCTTTTTTCAGGGTTGTTCTCCTAAAGCCTGCCTAGAACAGACAATGACCCCTGCCAGAGAGGTGTTGCTCTGGCTAGCATGACACTGGTTAATGGAAGCCAGTCGGTGCCGCGGAATTCACAGGCGTCCCCCCAGCGGGGAACGGTCTTGTTTACAGTGCCTGCCTTCCAAAGGGAAATTAATGTTTAAGCTGTAAAATCGGCTCCCTTCTTCGGCCTCCCAACACGATTATTCCACCTTTGCTCAGAAGTGTTCCACAAGGGAAGGGAAACCCAATTTCTTAGGCTACCTCAGCAGACAGATTTGCTTTGAGTAGTTTGTTCTCCCCTTGCCAGTAATAAACAATAGCTTTCCCTGTATAGAGCAAGTTTGCCATCTACTTCCTTCCTTCTCCATCCCATAAACAATTCTTAGTCACACGCACACATTTTAAAGTTATTCTGCTTAAGGTGGCTTAAAGGGGAAAGCCAATGCTGACTTTCAGAAAAAATTCTGAAGTTGCCTTGTGGGGCTTAAACGACAGCACGCATCATGTTCGCTGGTTATCAGTCAAGCCCACTGCTTAAAAGCCACAGCTCTCTGCACACTAAGCAGCTCAAGCAACCAGCAGCCTGGCTGGCCTAAAGATCAACATCGCGCCAGGTTCTACAAGATCCATCTAATTTAGCTTCCCATCTCCATGAGCAGCCCCCACCAATAAATGCATAAGAAACAGGGCACAAGGCCATGGATCCCTCCCCAGCATTTGTCCTCAACATCTGTAAGTAGCCTCCATGCTGAGCTGGGAGCTTGGGGGGGGGATGTGGGGGGGGGATGGACACCAGCCTCCAGCAATGTGTCCAGTTTGTTCTTAAAGTGTTAGAAGCCCCATTCCTCATGAACCCCCAGGCAGAAATCTGTTTATAATTAAGAAGAACGGTTACTCAAAAATGAACCCAGGAAGCATTTTCAAGTCTGGTAGTATTCACTGAGCTGACACGGTGCTTAACTGGCCAAGCCAAAATAAGAGTAGCCATTGCCCAAAACACTGGCCAGCCTCACTTCTGGTGGTGCAGGGGAATGAGCGAGGCTTGTGAGGTTAACAAAGTGCAATACATGAGGAGGGGGAAAAAGCTCCCTGGGCCACTAAAGGCATGGGATTTGGAACACGGGGGATTCCCAATTCATGTGGATTTCAGAACTCTCGGGGAGCTGCTTGTGCCCCAAAACGAAAGAGGCCCCAAGTCCTAGAGACGAAGCACCCAGCAGCAGAGAGCTGGACTGCCTTGCTCAAGACAAAGCGCACCTTCTAAGCCAACCAAGAAATAGCTGAGATGTTCCTCCAAATACTTCAATCAAACTGGAAGCTATTGAAGCTTGCACTGATGGGCTACAGAGGGCATGAAGTTCCAAAGCTAGCAACATTTCATAGCAGCCACATGATGGGCTTTTATATGTTCTGTGCTTCTTACTGGGCATTCCTGCGTCTAATACCCATGTGGGCAGTTTGCAAGCTTGTGTTTGATGGGGTCTTCCTCCCTTTCCCTGGTGTGAAGGAGGCATCCGAATGGGGAAGTGGGCTTTGGCAATGAGTGCCAGAGGCAGGATGCCAAGTCAAGGCTGAGGTCCTGCATCTTCCCTCCACCGAAAACCAGATGGATATTGCTATGCCTGGAAAGCCCCTGACGCTCCAGGAGGGATTTTAATGGGGCCTAAAAAGGCTTAGTTTGGGATGCACCCGGCCCTCCAGTGGTGCTCATCTTACAGAGAGCGTTCACTCACTTCTGTGAAGCCACCGCTCCCAAGCATTGCTCCCACCCCCCGCTGCTGTTATTTCCCACTGAAATAACAATCCTAAATGGAGTCCCCGGGGGAGTGGGTGCTAATTCTGCTAGCTCCTCCGGCAACCCGGAAGAGGCTGCTGCTCTACGTCTAATTGTGGCAGAGAGAAACCAGCACTGGATTCCGTGGGGGGGGAGAGAGGGGGCTCCCGCTGGGCATGCGCCCCCGGCCAGATCCTCACAGCCGAAGGGGCTGTGCGGCCCAGTCCACGCACCGCCCGCCGGCGGCACACACGCACCGACACAAAAGGATGCCTTCTTGGGCCTATGTAAGGGGGGAAAGGGCAGGGATGCCCTTTTGTTCCCGCCGCCTCAGAGACTGCAACAAACTTGGCTGCCGAACTTCTGCAGAGGGGGGTCTTGGGACCACTGCCCAGGCTCCAGGACGGAGGCGGCCGGAGACCCTGGCCGCCCGCGCAGCCGGCGCCTGCGGAGAACGCCCGCCAACCATCCTCGAGGAGGCCACGCTGCCGCCCCGCTCTGCCAGCGCCCAGGCGCCTGCGCCACTCGGCCGCACGCAGGAGGCCCCCCAGCCGCCGGCGCGAGGCGCTCCGCGGCTCGCCGGGCGGCAGAAGGGGCCCGCTTCTCCGGCAGAGGGCCGGCCAGCACTCCGGGGGCGCCCCGCGCCGGCACGCTCCGAGGCCCCCTGCGGATGCTCGCCGACCCCGGGCAGCCTCGTTGAGCCGCGGCCGCCGAGCGCCCCGCGGGCTTCCCGCACACCAGCACCTGCTGCCGGCCCTGGGCGGCGAGCCTCGCGAAGCAGCGGCAGGCCGCCGTCCCCTCCTCGGTCGAGCGCGCCGCGCAGGTAAACCGAGCGCCACGCGGCCGCCGCCCGCGCCGGGGCCTGAGCCAGCGGCCGCCGGCCGGTCCCCAGGCGAGCAGCCGCCGGGGCGCAGGCAGAAGCAGCGCGGGGGCAGCCGCGCCGCAGGGGAAGGACGCGGAGCCGCCGCCGCCGCCGCCGCCGGGCCGCGACGCGACGCGAGCCTGCCTTCGCTGCAGCTCGTCCGCGGGCCCGGCGGCTCCCTCCGCTCCGCGGCAGGCGCCGTCAGCCGTCGGGACTCGCCACCGCCCCGCGGCCCCTCCCGCCCCGCGCCCACCTTTGTAGCGCTCCAGGACGTCCTCGTACGCCTGCACGAACTCCTTCTCCTGGCTGCGGTTGAGCGGCTGCTGCCCGGGCACGTAGCCGGCCATGGCGCTGCCCCGCGGCCGAGCCGGCCTTTGTGCCGAGTCGCTGCGCGAAGGGAGACCCGGCAGCAGCAGGAAGTGGGGCGGCGCTGGCCCGACTGGCCGGCTGGCTGCCCGGCAGCCCTGGAGCTCCTGCGCCCCGCCGCCTCGTCGTCGTCGTCGTCCTCCTCCTCCTCCTCCGCCGCCGCCGCCGCCGCCTTCGCCTTCCTGCCGGCTCCTCTGCCGCCGCCGCCGCCGCCACTCCCGGCCTAGGCTCCACCCGCCGCTGCTGTCAGGGAGGCCCGACCGGCGCAGCTTGGCCGCTCGCCTTCCATTCCCGGCCCGGCGCAGCCGCCCCGCCCCCGGGCCCGGCCCGGCCCGGCACGGCCCGGCGCAGCCCCAGAGGCGGGGACACCCGGCGGCCGCCCGCGGAATTGCGGGGCACGGCCGAGGGGTCGCGGCGGGCGGCGGGCGGGCCTCGGGGCCTCGGATCCCGGCGGCAAGGAGCCGCCACGGCCGGCGGGGGAGACAGGGCAGGACTCGGTCGAGCTGGAAGGCAAGCGAGAGCGACGGGAGCCCCCCCCCCCGCCCCGCAGCCATGCCGGGGGGAGCCGGAGCCGGGACAGGGAGGAGGAGAGGCCGTGTCCCGCCCCCGCAGAGGGAGCCGGGGGAAGTGGATGAAGAACCAGGAAGGTGCCGGACCAGGTCAGGATCCTTTACATCGAAATAACCAGAAAGTCCGGAAGGGGGGAGGGGCAAAGGCCCATCAAGTGTCCGGAGCCTCTAGCCAGTTTCGGGGTCTCCGTTGCCGGTCCAGACGCCTCCTGCAGCCTTTTCCCTCCTTATCGTTTTCGGATTTTGTTTTTTGGAAAGAATACAAGATGGAAGTATTGGAGGAAAAAGGACCTGCTACAAGGGGAGGGCAAGAATGTCTGCCGCCCATAAAGTCCCATGTTTGAGGCAGGGGGCTGGCTCAGTAAAGAATTGCCTGAAGCACCCTCAGCAAGAAGTCCCCACAGATCTCGGTGGTACAGACCCTGAGCCAACCCACCCCTTCTGCAGCACAGCGCTGCCCTGATCCCCCACCCTGCCCGGTTTGCCAGTCCTGCCTTTGGACTCTCTCTGAGCCATTCCTGTTCTTTTCCGTTCCAGCAGGCAGCCCCCAGGATGGCGCCTGTTCTGCCTCCTTGGCCAGCTGCCCCAGGAGGGAACGGAACGTGTGCTCTGCCCCAGCGGTGTTTGCCGTCCTTGCCTGTGGTGCCTGGAAGCTGCTGGTAAGGGCGAAGCTGCACTGCACAGCCCCAACGTCTGGGCTGCCAGGGGAATAAGAGACGGACTAGGACACCGTCTGGGGGGCTGGCTGGCTGGGCAGGAGGGCCGCTGCCTCCCTGGCATTACGATGCCACCTCTTGCAGGCAGCCACACTCCTGCCTCCCTGGGCTTAGCAGCATGGAGGGTCTCACCTCTGGTAGATGTGCCCAGAACGAGGCTGTTCTCGCGAGCACCCTGAAGCCCGCTCTTGCATTTCCCACCCTCATCCCAAACGCGGGGCTTCATGAACTTGGGAGTGGATTGCAAATGGACTCCCTCCCATTCTTTTCCTGGGGCAACTCCAGTTGGGAGGGCATGGCCGCTGCACCCCTTGGCTAGCCCCTCTCCCTCGGGCAGTGAGGGGGAGTGGGGGTTTCTCTATGGCCTGAGCCCACACACCAAGCAAGAGGAGTCCGGGCAGCTTGTTCTGCTGGGGCCGGGGACAGAGAGAGAACTAAGCGCAAGCGGCAAGGCTGCCAGCACCGGGCCTGCACTATCCACCACCCCAGACGAGCGGAGCGAAGCGAAGCGAAGGGTGTGGGCGCCACCTCGTGCAGGGACCGGAGCAGCACAAGGCAGAAAAGATGGAGAACAAAGAGCGTGGCGTTGGAAGAGGGTTTCATGCGCCGTTGGCGCTGGAGGCGGGGTTTTTCATGTGGGAAGCTGTGGGGAACGCTCTTGATGGCTGCTGGGCCCGGCCATCTCCAGCTGGAGCACCAGTACAAAGCGAGGCAAGAGCGAGCCGGCATGCAGCAGCAAGGCCGCCTTCCCAGCCTGGCTCCTCCAGACATGTTGGCCTCCGGCTCCCAGAATTCCCAGCCACATGACCCTTTGCCAGCAGAGCATTAGGGGAGGTGTAGTTCAAGGCATCTCACCGGCACCAAGCAGAGGAAGGCCATGGCAGGGAAGCCATGTGTGATAAGCAGCTTTGCTTTTATCGCCAGCCCTCCGTGCAAATATCTGCTGTTTCCCTTTGCGCCATTTCCAGAGGTGGATGCTGACCCCCACAGTGAGTGGCGGATTGAGATGGGCACATGTGACCCACAGCAGGGGGGCATTTCAAGGGGGAATTCTCTTGCTCAGGAAACTTTCAGCTGAAGTTGGTGAGCACAGCACCCGTGTGCCTTGATTCTCCACCTTGATCAGCAAGATGGCTCAGGCCACCTGGAGACCTTCAGAAATTAACAGATACTCAGCATGCCTCATCACCGAGATGGTTGCAAGCGAGGGAGCAACCAGCAGGGTTTAAAAACCAGGCCGCTGCAAGGCAACCCTCTCACCACGGCAGAGAGCTTTCAAAACCCAGCTGGGGTGGCAAAGGCAGCCCCTTCACCATGCACTGCAACCGGGTACCCTGCTTCCCGATGAGAGTGCGTGTGTGCACGCACTCACCCTGGACGGGCCTGTAACTATAGCAACCAACAAAATGGTTACTTGGCCCTCGGCGTTGCGCTTCCTCCACCATGCATCCCACCTCTTGCACGCCGGCTGCCGTGGCAATTGCCTCCGTGCCCCCCAGCAGCCCCTCCGGCATGCTCGAGAGAGGGGTGTGCTGAGGAGGGCTCGCGAGGTGGCCCAAGGGGAGCTCTCTGCAAGAGCGACCGAGGCACAGCGCAGAGGCGCTCCTTTTGTGGATGGCGGAAAGATGCCATGCAGTAGCACCTGAGATTCTGCCACGGTTTCGCCTAAAGCTGTGCAGAATACGGTCCTTTCTGGCTTCCCCATAAAGCAGAGGAGGGACAGAAACCAAAACTGCACCATGGAGAGGTGGGAGGGGACCCATCCAGGGCCTGGCTCCTCCACCCCACCCACACGCACAGAGCTGTCCTTTTAACACTGCTTTTCTCCCACTGGGTCTCTGTGGCTGGTGATCCACATTAGGAAATGATAATTTCCAGAAGTGAACTCTTGCTATGCACACACATTTGATGGCGATTGTCAGAGCCCGAGCTGGATCCTGCTATCACATCTAGTTGCAGCCAAACGGCATGTCTACTCAGAAGTAAACCACACTGTGTTCACTAAGGTGGTGCCTAAGTGCTGAAAACGTGCGATGTGCCTGATCCTGGTAATTCCTACAATTACTCCGTCAAGCAGGTCGCGTCAGTCAATCCATAGTACAGACAGGGAAATGCAGAGCGTGGCTCCCCTGAAAACCATTGGCAGTTCGTGCCTGGCTTGGATCCCGGAGGCCACAAGCTCGGGCACAGAGGCTCAACTGGCTTTCCTGGGAGGGCTGAGCAATGCTTTGCTATTTTGTCTTCAATACAGCAGCACAATCCAGTCAGATTGGAACACTTGAGGAAAGTCCTTTCCGTGGGTGCTTAACTCTCCCATGGAAGCTGGTATTTTGAGGTACTCTGCTTTGGCCGGAATGTGCCCAGCCCACAGAGCAGGCAAACACTGTCACCTGCCCAGAAGGCCTTTGGCTCCATGGCTGGGCTAAGACGGGGTCCGCAAGCATCGGACAGCAGAGCGGAGCGGGACAGCGCACAAAATGCTGGCTGGATGCGGCTGCCACGCGGGAAAAGGCCATCCCGCCAGCAGGGCTGAGCTGTTCCTAAGCTGGCGGCCGCAGGTGGCCGGGGCAGCCGTGGGGCTCCGCCGGCCCTAAAAGCAGGCGGGTGGCAGGGAAGACACCTCTGTGTGACTCAAAGCAGTGACTAGAACAGGGAGAGCCGTGGGGCGTGGGGGAGGGGGACGGAGCCCTCTGCCCCACGCCACCTGCTAGCCTTGTAGCTGCGCGCACCGCACTGGCCCGCTGAGCCTGCCTGGCGGCATAGCAGGGAAAAGCAGCAGGATCCAGCAGAGGTGCCTCCCCCTCGCCGAAGGGGGAGCCAGAGTGCAGCGGCCCTCCCCCATCTCGTCTCGGCTGAGCTGGGACCGGAAAAGCAGCCCTCCTGAAAGCTGTCCCTGCAGGAGGGCCTGTGCTTGCGTGGATCTCACTGGGAAGCTGACTGCGTCTTCCGCTCAAAACCAAGTAGTGTATTCTGCGCACCCGGGATCCAGCCCTTCTGTGGAAGTCCCTTCCCCGCCTGCAGGGGGCCCATTTCACTGTCCCCCTGAATGGGCAAGCGGCCACCGCATTTGCTGCTGGAGAGAATGGCTACACTACCTTCAAGCCCCAGTCATTTTAGACACAGGCCTGGTTTTGCTACAGTTTCTCTGTAGCTCCTGGGGGACCTGAAACCACAAATCTTTACATCACCCCAGCCCCAAACGCCCTTTAATGGAAAACTCCCCTTGAGTTCTGCCTGTTTTGCATGTGGGAATATCTACTTCCTTCCCATAAATAAAAATAAAATAATAATAGCTTTTTAAATCCCTCTTACAAAATGCAAAGATATGGGAAAACTTGCTTCTAAACTTACCTCATTTTTAATCTGTATGATGAAATTTTACGTACTACTGAATGTGAATTGCAAAATATAGTTTGGATGTTCCCCTGACAGAAGAAACCTTTTCCCGACTAAGGAAGGAAGGTTTGCACAATGTGAAAGGGTTGCAAGGGAGAAGTCCCACCTGCCTGGGCAGCTTGGCTCCCAAACTTCCCCCTGGACCTTGGGCCTGCAGGCTTCCTGTACCCCTGGCTTCAAGCAGCTCCTTCCGCTTCATTTAGCACCCTTCCTTTACTTCTGATCATCCGCTTACCCCAATGCCAACTCCTTTTTAGTACAGTCCAGCTCCAGAAGGGACACTGCAGCCACTCTACTCACTGTTGCTTCTGCCAGCTGCCGAGCTTGCCCTCAAACCGGCAAAGCGTCCACCTCGTCAAGCCAGCACAAGTCTAGCATGCAGCACCCCTGTGAAGCACGCCTGAGGAGGATGCCTGGGCCGTTTCAGCCCAGCCGGACCGAAATGCTTGCTCCCCTGTTGTTTCCAATGGTCTGCATTTGAATCTAGTCTCAGTGGTCCTTAATGACAGCTCTGATTACTTATTTTCATTTCCACAGAATGTTTTGGCGTATGAAAATTTCCTCCTCCTATGCCATGAGCACCTTAAACTGGATTATTTAACCTCACAAACACCATCCAAGGGAGATGACTGGGTCGGCAGATGACCCCTTCCACCCAGGGCTCCCACCAACCACAGCATTTAATAAAGTGCTTTATTAAATGTGCGGGCATTTAAATGAGCTAGTGCCATACAAACCACCGCCAGCCAGGAAAGAGCCCGTCGCCCCAGAGGAGAAATAAAAGCACTTCATTCCTTTGTGCATGGGGCTGCTGGCCCACATCCAGTCCAGCAGCACTGTGGATACATTAACCAGCATAACAGCAAGCAACACCTGGTGCCTGGAGTCCTTCTGGTCCCCAAACACTTCCTTGACCAACACTGCCCTGCCGGTCCTCACAGTCAACCATCACCCCACACTCCACTGGGCCTCCACATCTGAATGATCTGCACAGAAATGCCTGACTCCCTCGTATCCTGCGTGACTGAACAAGAGCCTCACTTTGGGCCGTGCTTATCTGCAAAACCTGTGCCTTTTAGAAATCACGAGAACAGAGGAAACACCTTTGGGTGGGGAACTGGTCTACCTTCAGAGGTGCAACTTCTAGGGCCCGGGCAGAAGACGCTAACAACACAAGCAACCACAAGGGGTGGGAGCCCAGGGCTGGGTTGCTCTCGCACACACCCCAGCTTTGCTAAAGGCGTGCAAAGAAGCGGGCTGCACGCTTGGCACAATTTTCAGATGCTCTAAGCCTGGGAAAGGCCGTAATTGCTTGGGAGGATGAACTAGGATGCAAACAGTGAGATGAAATTACCAGAGCTTGATGCAAACATCTGTTTGCCAGATGTCCCTTATTTGACAGGAATGTTGCTTTTTCCTTTTGGACAAAATAGAGCTCCCTAAATTGACAACACCAAGTATTCCGTTCTCTAATACGCAGTGGGACAGCCCGCCTACTTCTCATGTGGGCAAGGTTGATCTCGGCACTCCTAAAAGGGACCCACCAGAGCCGCCTTTTCTAGCGTCCACGTGTACTCTGCAGCTCCCTCTAGAAAGCTGGCCTCATGCGTACTTCCTGCTCAAACAGTGTGGCAAACAACTCTGAGAAAGCCCACGTGGTGTGGGGGTGGGTGCTGGACTGGCAACCCCAGAGGTGTGGGTCCCACGTCCCCAGTCGCCATGATGCTCCAAGGGTGACTTTGGGCCGGGCACTCGCTCCCGGCCCAACCCACCTCACAGGGTGGTTGCCGCACGGACGAAGTGGAGGCACGTAGGCCACCGTGGGTGCCTCACGAGGAGAACTGGCAGGCTGTGAGCACAATGAGACCACAGTAGCCACAGGGATACTAGCAACAGAGCTCCACCAGCCCAGCCCTGGGGAAGGGGCGCAGTCAGTGCTACGGATCCCCAGCATCCATCAGTGCAGCCATGGAAAAACCTGCCTCATGTGGGGCAGGAGGGGGCTGAAGGAGCAGGACACAGCGAGGCGGGGCGCAGAGGGGACAGGCAGCCCTGCCTGGGCAGCAGTTCCAGTGGAGCAGTTTGGATGGCAGCCTGCCAGCAGGTGCAGGGAACCTGCTGTCCAAAAGCTCAGAGACAACCGATCAGTTTCTACGCCTGATCGTAGCCAAAAGGCCAAGAAGGGTGCCTGCAGTCAGATCCTGGGGGAGTGCGGTTCTACCGAGCTAGAGGAAAGACAAAGTCTGCGAATGCCACTTACTCAAGATGACTGATACGAACTATGGTGGCAGTATATTGTGTCGAAGTAGTTACTAATCCAACTGGGGTTTTATGAAAGATAACTTTTAATTTATTTCCTTCGTTTTAAAAATCTATTTCTTTATTTATTTGAATTGAGCTGGTCTTTGACCATAATAATAAAGTTTTGTTTATCTAACTGATCCATGCCAGTTTCCTGTATTGTAAACATATTCTTGGATTACTGAAAATTGCATGCACGCTCTCTCTCTCACTGTTCTGATTCTTCACAGCTGAGGGGTGCTGGCTTCATAACCTTTGATGGGGATGCAGCGACTCAAAGCAACAGAAACTTGCTTCTTATTTCACCCGCTTGGATGGCAGAGGAAGGAAATTATTTCACAGAAATAGCAGCTGGTGGCCAGAAGCTAGGGGGAAGGTTGGGCTGGGCAGGAAGTCTGCGCTTTGGGTGAGCTTGGGGCAGGTGCCGCCTGCAATGCGTCGGACCTCCCTGGGCCCCATTTGCCTCCGTCTGAATATCCGCAGAGAAGGAGCGCAAAACCAGCAGAGGCTCCCCATCTGGCCTGCACATGAGGATGCAGCCTTATTCAGTGTGTCGCATGGAACTGGGCACCTTAAAGATGCATGTAACTGCGTTACAAGGTGCCTTGCCTGTTTTGCTCCATCAGGGAAATTGCCCTTTGGTGGGGCAATCTGGACAGAAAGACAGTATGGGAAGAAAGTCCCTCTCGCCCCCCAACACGCAGCTATTATTCTAAAGGCGTCACTTTAACGTTGTGGTTGCCCTTTCCAGCAAAAAACAGAAGATCTGACTACAGACCCACCATGGGAACACTCTCTGACCGGACTGGCCCGGTGCCCCTCTCAGGGTCAGGCTGGCCTCGCTTGCCGAGCTTCAGCACGGCGCCCCTCCGCCTGCCCTGCTCTTTACAAGCGGCCATGAACCACGGCAGCTGCTGGAGCCCAGGCCTGGGTGCCACGCGCAGCATGCCCAGCCACGCACTTGCTGGGCCACAATCGCCGTGGCTGGTGGGACCCCCAGGCCACCCCCACTCTAAGGGGCAGGGCGAGAGATGGAGCCAGAGCTACTGTGCTACTGCAGCCTGACCAGATCCTGGCGCATCTGAAGAGCAGCAATAGGGCAGTGAAGGCGACCGGGGGCTCTGGAGCCACGGACAGGCAGGGCCTGAAGCTTGCCGCTCCCGGCAGCCTCGGCGTCACCATGCAAGCGAGGCGTGCAGGAGCTGCCCAGGAGAGGAGCGGATAGACTGGAGAGGAAAGGAGGCCCTGCCGGCCAGGCTTCCTCAGACTAAGAGGGGTGCCACTGTGGAGGTGCAAATGAGGTGGTTCCAGCTGGGGGAGAAATGAAGGCAGGAGCCCGTACCAGGAGGGTACAGGGGCAAAGGAAGAGAGCGGATCCAGCCTCCCACCCGCTGATGCGTTCCCCTCGCACAACTGACACTGTGCAAGTGGCTTCGTGTACGGAAAGGCACGCCACTGTCCTCCTTGCAACAGGAAGCACTTCTGCGCCCCGGCAAGGCTTGTATCTCCGTGGCAGCTGAGCCTGGAGTCCAGAGTAAAACCAATTCATACGCCAGGCAACAAAACCAGGTTTGCACCAGACAGGAAGCCTCGCAGGTGTGAAACTGGGGGAGCCAAGCTGCCCCCAAATGCATCAAAACCCCCAGAAGGGGCAGACAGAGGAGGCCATCCTCAAAGCACAGAGGCTTCTTGGGAGCAAGTGGCTCCTTCAGGCGAGGGGCCTCCTCAGGAGAAGGGAGGCCTGGAAGGGTGGACTTGTGGCTGCAGCTGGGCCTGGTGGGATTTGGAGTCCTTCCCTGTAAGGGCCCCAGCAAAGGGCTGCTCCGCACTGCGTCTTGTCCTCGCTGCCCCTACGGCCTGACCTCCTGCATCACGGACCTCTGGACCCCTGCTCTGGGCATTGCTCTGGGGATCATGCCTGCTCGCGGGCAGCTCCACTGCGCCCAAAGCTGTCCTTTCTTGACCACCCCAGTGCTCGTCCGGCATTGTCTCGCTCCTGGCTTGGCCAGCCCGCAGCTTCCAGGAGCCGAGCTCAGGCTCTGCCAGGTAGCCCAAGGACTGGCCCAAAGCCATCGAGCCCGTTATCCTGCCCAGCAGCCTTGGGCAGAGCAGCCTGAACAGCGCAGCCCAAATGTTGCTGGCCCCAGATCTGCCCGTGCCAGGTCCCATGAAGGTGGATTTCAGGCACAGCGAGGCGTATTGAGCAGAATGAGCCGGAGGATCGGCAGGCACCACAGGCTGGCCTAGTACGCTCTGGAGGAGGTGAAGAAATGCACACGGCCTGCAATCCGCTTTCCGTCTGGGCAAGGCAGCTGCGCCTCCCGCCGTTCCTGGGCGGCGTGTGCAGGGGCTGCCCATTCGCTCACTCGCGCACGCGCTCCCTGCAAGTCTCACCGAGTTCCACGGGGGTTCCCTCTGAGCAAACCGGCACATTTAGCCCCCTGCCCCGATGCACATGCACACTGTGAAGGCTACAGGGACCAGTGCTGCGGAACTAGAATTGCCGAGTTGCCCTCAGAGGTGTCCCTCAGCTGCCTCTGCACTGCCCAGGTTCACTTCTTTGGAGCCCCGGGGTCCGCGCAGAGCGATGCAGGAGGTGGGAGGGGTCCCTGGGGTCAACTGATTTCCCCCCTTTAACATCTTTGGCTGGGGGATGCTGGGAGTTTAGTCCAAGACACCTGGAGGCACCGAGCTGGGGAGGGTAACCCTCCCTGACTTGAGCTTGCTTTTATTAAGTAATACTATTTTGGGCATTGGGTACCTAGAGAGCAAGGATGGCCCCCTGGAAGAGCTCCTAAAGTCACTTGCTCTGAGCAGGGGATTGGACCCGGCAGCCCTCGGGCCTCCCCAGCCCTGCTATTCTAGGACTTCGCTAGACCTGTGCAGCAGCGCCACAGCTGTTGCCCTATGTCTCTTTGTTTTGGTTTGTTTTTTTTCGGGGGGGGGGTTGTAGTCAATTAAACCCTCAAAGAATTTGAGTTTAGCACTTTTGCTCCTCGGGCTTGTAGGATATTAGAGCACCATGAATCTATCCCTACTAGGGAAAAAAGCCCAAATTTTGATCCTTGAAGAAATGGGAAAGCCAATCCTGAGTTCCCACCAGAAAAACCAAGCCAGTATGTTCAATCAGGTACATTTGTAGGAGATGCATTTTGGTAAAAATCATAGCTGAGGTGCAAGAAAAGCAACATGTGTTTCGATCATGAATGCATGAAGTAGCAGACCGTTAGAAGAAACTTCCCCTTCTTCTGGGGAGTAAAGGGGAACACCGCTTGTGACAGAGCTCTTTTGAACTGATAAAAATTAACTGGGGGAGCCTCTTCTTCATATGTTTAGGCACAGCCTTATGAGCACTCGGCCACTAGATGGCCACAGGAGAATTTGGGGCCCCCGCTGCCACCTGGCAGAAGCACGTCACCCTGAGACCCCACTGCCCTGCCCAGAATGCTGGCAGTGCCCCCAGCTCCTCTCCCGGTGAGCAGGGCGGAGGCGCCGAGATGCTGGGCAAGGGTCCCCCGCGTGTTTCAGAGGGAGGGAGGGGGGTGCCAAGGAATTCTCCCCTTCGCATCCCTTCCGCCCTCCCTCGGATGCTGGCAGCCCTCGGAGTTGGAGGGCTGCACCAGGCGGCACCCTTAATTGCTCCAGGCGGCACTTCTACTCACAGGCAAAGGTAAGTGCTGCTCAATCGTAAGGCACGCTCCAAGTCAGGGCAGCCAGGAAGTAGCCCTCCAGCGCGCTGGGCTTCCATTCCCATAGTCCCAGCCATTGGCCGTCTGGGAGCTGGTGCAGAACGTGTGGAGGGCTACTTGCTGCCCGCCTGTGCTGTGGGGCTGTGCCTCTCTTCAGATTTCACCTGCAGTCCCTCATCTATGCCCCACAGAAGTCCTTTGTGAATGGGAAGCCCCCTTCATCGTTGGCCAGGCGGCTCCATTTCATTATGGAGCCCAACACCTCCTGGTGTGTGGGGCCAGTTCCAGTTCCAGCCACGGCCTGAAGAACGGCAGCCCTGGAAGACACCGCCTTGTCCCGCTGGCCATGTTGGGCCAGCTCCCAGAAGAAAAGTCCAATTTCTGACATTCCAGGCCTTGCAGGATCTTGGAACAGGCTGGCTGTTTGCCTGATCTACCCCAGAGCATGAGCCAGCGGCCCAGGCTGCGGGAGTTGCAGAAATGTGCCAGAAGAAACCCTGTGCTCCAACCAATGTGCAGGTGAATGCAGGAATGCGTGGGAAGTGCCCACCTTCCACCCACACCCATCTTGCCAAGGAGCTCATTCTCTTACCAGCGACTCTGACGACTGCTCTCTCTGCTGGATCCAACACGGAGTCCTGGCTTTTCCGCTTCTTCTGCTCATGAAGGGGTAAATTCCAGGGCAAGGTGTCCCCTGGTGGGCAAGGAGACAGGCTCCCAGACCGTTCGCTCCGGTAGGACCGCTCACTTTTGCACGATCGCTCGCTCCGGCAAGACCTCTCGCTGAGGGTCTCTTCATCCGAGGAAGACATGACTGGGCACGAAGGGGGCGAGCACAAGCGTGCTGCCAAACCTTTGGAAGTGCTGACCTGCAAGCGGACACAAGAGCCAAGAGGTGAGGGAGGGGACCGAGGCGGATGGAAGTCCACAGGGCTTGGTATCTGGCTCCTAGCCAAGGTGGCAGCCATGAGCCTCCATGAGGCGTGCGCGGCCATCAGGGAAAATGAGCGGGCAGCGAAATGCGGGCGGCTGCTTCCAGAGCAGGCTCTGCGCGCAGCCGTTCTGCCTTCCCTTCCTCCAGCGCAAGCTTTCTGGTGAGGAGGAGGGGCCCGGGAAACACAGGAGGACTGCACGGAGGAGAAGTCCGCACCAGGACCCACGTGCAGTTCTGTGAAGGGGCAGGCGGTGGGCCGCTGCACAATCGGAGCCTCACCAGGGGTCCCCGAGGCCCCATCAAGGAGTCTCTTCCACACTGACAGCACTGACTCCCCACGGGGATGCAGCGGGGAGAGGAGGGAGGGGCCCGCCAGCGATGGGAGCCCTCCTCCCCAGAGGGGCGTCCTGCATGCAGCGGCTGCTGAGGACCTCGGGACCCAGCGGGCAGCTGGTTGCCCCGTGAGTGCAGGGCCAGACGGGGCCTTGGGCCTGACGCAGCAGGCTTTGCTCGTGTC